GCAGATGATGGAGTCCCTGGCACGTATCCTTCGGCTGGTCCTAAACGGAGCCAGACGCCGGAGGTCGTTGCACGTTCACGTTCGCGCTTGTATGTGTGGTCCAGGACCCTCGGGTCCTGATGGCTGAGCAGCTCGAGTTAGTTGAGATTTAAAAGCCATCAGCTTGCAGCTTCTTAGCCAATCTGCCCAAGTCGATTTGAGTACACTTGTATGTATGACTGGTCATCTACGAAAACACTTTACTGATCTAATCTAGACTTTCACATAAATCAGGCTAAATTTGTAGCATAGATCTTCTTTTTGTCTTAATAGGATATATATGTGTTTGCTCATTTGAATTTGATTTAAGACTATGTTATTTGTCTTCCAGTCATAAAGATCCTGATTCCAAATACCTATTATGTATTTAGTAAATAAAGTTTTACTTAGCAAAGTGTGCGAAATTTCAGTTCTGTTCACCATATTCCCTATGGAATCAACTGCCTTGTTCTGAATTTCGCTGAAAGACTTTTGAAACGTGTTTGCTTTTCAAATAATCTTGTTTCCGCTTTGCATAAGCATTGTATCATCCTGTGGGTAATTAGAGAAACTTGTAATTGAATTGCCACCGCTAGAGAAATCGACGGCACTTCCTTGAAAAAACAACTAATGCGATCCACTAAAAGTTTTGACAAGTTTCCGAACAAAAACTATACTTTTGTTTTCGATGCTGCCAAACAAAGTTTTCATTGTTACAAAGTTCTAGCCCCACACGCCCCATTCGTGATATGATTAATATTTGGTCCTTTCGCAGCACAAAAGTTGCCTGGCTTTAAGGATAATTTAGCGACGACCTCCGCGTTGTCTGGGCAAATGGAACTGGGTGATCGAGGAGCCAGGCATGAGTAAAATAATATGTTCGAAATGCAAACTCGAGTACAATTTCATTTAGTCACGGCGCTCTCAAATATTCATGAAGGACCTCAAGGAGTGGCTCGTTGCAGGATGTTTCGGGGCTATAAATTCTGGGTGGATTGCATTCGTGCAGTTTGCTCCCTTAAAGAGGTTTGCTCCTTGCTCCTCCCTACGCCTCGTACTGGACGGGTCTAATTTATGTTTCGCTTAACCTTAGTGCTGAGGCATCATTTAACATCGCATGCAAGTTTAATAGAGCCAAAGGCTTCGTCCTTCGTCCTTGCACCCAGCGAACAGCTCCAACCTGCAGCATGCAGCATGAAGAATGCTGACATGCATAACTTGTCAAATAGAAAGAAATTTAAAAGGATACGCTACGGCACGGATAAGCGATGGGGGCTGGGGGATAAACGACAAATATTTGCACCGCAGCTCGCAGCTGCTAGAGTGCATGTCATACTGGGTTCGAGATCTCGAGCGAAAGTGGGAGCACATGGAACTCGGCATTCGCAACTGAGATATGCACAAAGTCGGGCTGTGGGAGGCACTTTAAGGTGGTATCCTTCCCGGGGAAAGGCCGTCCATAAATCTCAATTAGAGCAAATGGACATTTGACAGCAGGACATGTCGTGTTCGCAAATATTGCGTTCATTTATTCATTGCGATTTTTCGGGGTGGAATGGAAAACAATCAGCGTCGACATGTGGTTGTTTATTTATTATTTAGCAACTTGCGCTGCTGTTTATCTTTTCTCCTGCTTTAATTGAATTTTTAAGGAGTGCCTAATTAAATAACTATAAAAGCAGTGCAAACTATGCGTCGAAAGGCGAAACAGACTAAATAACCAAGTGCAAGTGGGAGGGAAATGAATAAATCATGCGGAAAGTTTCCATAGTTTCTTCATTCAGTTCACGTTGTCGTCCCGAGAAAAAGGGTTCAGCCAAAGGAAAATTTACAACTTTTCCCATTTCAATGTTTTTCCCGTTTTCTTATTTTGGGTGCCGACGATGTGAATATTTTATTGGGCCTCAGTTGTGTCCCATCTGACATTAATATATTATTCATTGGATGAGCGGGGGCCAAGTGTAACTGCTACTGCCGCTGTTTCGGTAATTGCAAACGTGTAATGGTTTATTATTCCCTTTTCCCGGTGCTGCCCCGTTTTTTATGGGCAGGTCAAGGACGTAACACGCAACATTAAGAAGGCTGTCTGCGCCTCCAGTCTGGAGGAGATCCGCAGCAAGGTGGCGGAGAAGTTCGAGAAGTGCGACCACCTGCCCACCATCCACCTGGACTCCGACGGCACGGAGATCGACGACGAGGAGTACTTCCGCACCCTCGACGAGAACACGGAACTGGTGGCCGTCTTCCCCGGAGAGCATTGGATCGATGTGAGTAGCCCTTGGCGTACTAAAGTACTTTAAATAAGGTTTCTTAGGTTAGAAGCCTGGCATTTAAATTTAATTATATCATTAAATTCTGTAATTTTCATTTGAGTACCACTTGGATAACTCCTTTTATTTCCTTCTTTTATCTGTCATAATGACTAATTGCGTTATTTGTGGAATGTGATAGGACCAAAGCCAGGGAGATTAAATTAAATGCTATCTGCACTCTGTTTATAGCCCACTCACTACGTGACGATAACCACTCCACATGGCAGCGAGGCAGGAACTGGAAATGGGGATCTGAACGGAGGAGGCGAGGGCGACACCACCGATGCCAACAACTCGGAGTCGGCTCGCATCCGCCAGCTGGTGGGTCAGCTGCAGAACAACCTTTGCAACGTGTCCGTGATGAACGATGCGGACCTGGACTCACTCTCCAACATGGATCCCAACTCGCTGGTGGACATCACGGGAAAGGAGTTTATGGAGCAGCTCAAGGATGCGGGAAGGTGAGCGGTGATGGATTACCCAAATAACAGATAATGGCAGCATGCTTTATACATTTAGGCCACTGTGTGCCAAGCGAAATGCCGAGGATCGCTTGAATCTGTTGAAGCTTCTGAAAGCTGGTGCCATTTTCTGCTCGGAACGTTACCCAGAGGATGCGGAGGCCATTGACCGGGAGATCGGACGCCAGTTGAACGAGGCGGAGAGTGGACAGATGAGCACCACAACGACGAGCAACACCCGCACCATCGAGGTGGTGCAGTGCGACAATCAGAACACGACGATAACAATTACGGTGGGCGAGGCCACAACCACGTGCTCCGCAGCCAGTGGAGCCATGGGATCCTCCGCTGCCGAAGCGGCGGCCAATGAGGCCAATGCCAATCCAAATAGAAATTCAAATGCCAACGGCGACATCTGACTGCCCATTTTGGGCAGTCTAAGGTGAAGTCTGCCGGCGGAGGACTAACGCAACTGGGTGTGCAAATCAAAATCGAGAGCCATGAGGATATACCGAAGACATCAGTCCTGCAACATTGGGTTAACATAAATCGTATTTGTAGCATGTAATTAGGCACTGCGAAATCAGCAAGAGCGAAACGGAGACAAAATCAAGTCATGGAGAAAGCTTCATAGTATCTAAGAGCAAATGAAAGTTAACGAACAATACACGTACTAGATTTAAACACCGGGTCACGAGACTGCAGAGGTCGCGGCCCACGCAGATTTGAAGAGTCTTTTAGCAATCACAGTCAACGGAATCGTATTTAACCGTATATACACGAGTCACACCAGCCGTACTAGATGAATAATAATCAAAAGGTTAGCGAATAAGTATTATACTTGAGGTAGAATCCCCAAAACCAGAGCGAACCCCAAATTGGAGGGATGGAGGTGTCCCAGGAAACTGTTGATTTGCTTGCCGTGTAAGTTGTGTTACGAATTAGAGAGAGTAGGTAGAGTGGAAACGCACATCAAAAATTGTTTTTAGACCAATGTCATTGTGAATGTCATTCGTTAAAGGCCAATTGAGACTGACTGAATTTATGTGTAATAGGTTTTTTTCATGGCTTGAGCGGTTCGGGACAGATCGGATGGAAGCCTCCGGCGCTGCTGGCCTGTCCTCCCTGAATCCCTGTCTTCCCGCCCCCGAATCCATAGCCAAATGAATTTAAGCGATAGCAAACATTGTTAGCTAATTAAACAATAAAGGAACACAATAACGCAAATTGCAATTGCCCAATCAATGTTGGTAACTGTCTACAATTCGAATAAGCAATAAGGGCAACCGTAAACGAAAACGAAAACGAAATCCAAAACCAAGTGCAGAAACAGAAAACAATTATTAAATATAGTGAAACGCATACAGTAAATGCAAGTGAAGACCCCGAGGCAAACTATATACACGAAAGCAAGTAATAAAAGATGATTATTAAACTAAAGTTGATTGAACTAGCAAAACTGGCATACGGGGCGTATGCGCAACGCACCAAGCGTGTGCAACAGGGCGTATGGACTGCATCAAAGAGAGAGTTTCCGTTCCTTCATTTTCCAGAGAGCGCGAGAGTCCTGCACCTGCTGCTGCTGCTGCTGCTGCTGCCATATAATTGCATTACTCGACGCCATTCTCTTTTGCCATTCAACTTTCTTCGTGACGTCACTGGCCCATGACGTTGGCAGCTCCTGGCTAGCTGCTCGCGTTGCCCCACTGACACAGTTCAAAGCTCCCGGGTGACCCAAATTCGTGACCGACAGCGCCCCTCAGCAACGGCCCCTTTGTGGGCGTGGCCCTGGCTTTGATGAATCAAATCCTGCCTCCTGTGGCCTTTGCACACTCAATACGCCTTGTTAACACAGCACATCCTTTTCGGCTCCCACTCCTTGGCTGCTCTTTTAATTTGCGCCCCCGGCGATTTCCATTCAGCTTTATTTCGTTTGCTGGCAGGGAAAACATGAGAAATCATGGAGCGAAAAGCGCCCAAAAATATTAAAAGTGTAACTTGAAACCGCTTTGACTGCTTTTGATGTGCCAAGGCACTTGCGGTGGGCTGCCTGGCTAAACAATTGTCGCACACTTGAGCTTGTGATTCCTTTGATGTTGTCCTGCAGATTGGGAGAAAGTGTCGGAAGAGGAAATGGAACTTAATCGAAAGCAATCTGACAGAATCAAAGGCACAAATGGTTCCCTTTCAATTGAATTAATCAGTTCAGTAATCAAAATAGCTTGCTTTGCAGCTTTTACTCGTATGTAACAATTCTTGGTACGAATAATTTAGACAAGAGTTACATGCATTTTGGAAATCTTTCGGAATTCGAGTTCAAGGAACAATGGGTTTCCTACAAGTATACGCAGTCCGCTTCTTCGGTTCCTTGCGAGTGGCACCACCCAGCACCTTTCTGGCCGAGATCCGCTTCACCTTAAACAAGCGACCATCTATCTCCGCACATGAGAAGAACTTGGTGCGAGCCGGGTAATAGATCGTGGCAGTTCCGCACTTGCGACAGTTGACCGTGAGTTCTCCGTATAGAGTCCTTTTCTGTTTGGGGGGCCTGCCTCTTCTGCGTGTGCCCACATAGCTGGAGCTCGATGATTGCGATTCTAGCTCTTCACATTTAGTTTCCCGGCTTGATGTCCTCCGGCTCACGCGAAGCTGTAGCTTCGAGTTCCTGGACTTGGGCGACACTGGAGCCTCTTTGGCTGTTTTCATATTTTCCTCCACGTTTTCAGGTGAATTAACGGGGGCGGCAATGGAGGACCACCTTCATCAGGCGAGGTTTGTGACTATTCAATTGCGTGAAATACCTGTGCACTTGACTGACGATTGCCTGTGTTTTTAGTAAGACAATAGAACTCAATGGGTCCTGGGTTTTCATGAATCTAACACTTGGGCTTCGGTACTACGATGCATAATTGGCTTTTTTTAAATAGCTTCAAAATGCAACTTGAGCTGTATGGGCATTTGTGGCCATACGAAACACTCGATTAATTTTGGTGGAATTCGAGTCAGAGTCAGCACATTCTTTCGCAAACATTCCCCGTCTATGAAGCTATATATCCTCCAAGCACAAATGTCAAGCGTCTCACAAGAAGAGGCGGCGGTGGATAGTGGGCGTGGCAGTGTAAACAACATATCGAGTGAAGTCCTGCTTGGCTCGTCTTACTAACGAGTTGCTTTTCCCCCAAACGAGGACATAATTCTCAGCTGTTTTTATTTTTGCCCTTTTCGCATACATACTTTACACACATTTTCCCCAAATAAAAGTCTGGGAGAGGGCAGCGAGGGGGAGGATGTCCTTAGTGGGGGGTGCAGTGGCATCCACTCGCCCCGGGCTGTTGATTTTTATTCAAGAGCGTGTGTGTGTTGCACATAAACAAGACGCTGTGTAATAGATGCCGCAAAGGGCATTACTAATGCGCCCCGTGGCACTTTTGCCCATATTTGCGGGCGCGGCGAACGGGAGGGGGGCATTCGACGGGCTTTGTGGGCGGACCGAGGGCGGTGCATAATTGTGCTGTTGGAGCCGCTGGCTGCCGCAAACTGGTGCTTAGATTGCCTCATTTGGATGTTTGCTTTCGCCATCCGGAAGTCATTACGGCTGCGGATATGGGTATGCGCAGCTACACCCAACGAAATCATTAGTGGCTCCTATTTAGTCAAATTAAAGATTATTAAATTGCATTATGCACACGCTGATGCAGCAGATCGGTATTAGTATAGGTTGTAGCACACAGAATAACTAAATGATGGTAGCTAAATACTACTGGTAGAATTATTATTATTATTTGTATACGGGTATTGCTCAATATTACTTTTCAAAGGAAATCATGTTGATTGAGAAAAACAAAAATCTAGTTATAATTTAACCGAGTTCATAAATGATGTAAACTTTTTTCCGCAGTGCAGCAAGCCTTGGAACAGTGAACAAGCTGTCAGTGATGAAAATTCACGCAGGTTTGGCCAATACAAATATGAAATTATCCGTTTTGTTTATCGTGCTGCAGTTGCTGGTTGCTGCACAGGCGATTGACCTTTCGCCGCAGCAGCAGGAGTCGCATGTGGCAGCCAGCTTAAAGGAGCTGCAAGTGGAGGTGGCGCAACCGGGGGGCAGCGCGTGCATCCGCGATTGCCTCGCGGAGAAGGGCAGCCTGCTGGTGGATCCGCTGGCTGAATGTCAGCAGGTCGAGCAGCAGTTCGACTGCACACTGTACTGCATGTTTGAGGCCGAGCCGCGCTATTAAGCCATTAACCAATATGGTGCAAATACGCACAGGCTTGCCGGCCATTAAACCAATTACGGGTACAGCCACCCGCACGTAGGTACCCATAATGAAAGTACACAAAATAATGAAGTATGCCATTAAGTGGGAATGTAATTGCTTGTTACATGCCAGCAAGGTCGATGTCAGTGCTTGTTTGCTCTCATTATTTGCCATTTGCCATTTTCCATTCACATTTATTTTAATTTAATTAAAATGTTTGGCATTTTTTGTGTACTTGCTCTGCCCCGGATTGAAATGCTATGTTTTTTCCATTTAATTTCATTTAGACTGCTGACAGCAGGCGCAAATATTTGGCATTTACCCGCACCACTGGTGCGTTTGGCTGACGAGTTTTTGGCGAAAAGTGCCACACATCCATGGCCCAGGATCAGAGGCCATTTATCATCGCCACATGCGGCTGCATGACCTTTGCGACGACATGTGACTTAATTAATCTAACTGCCCAGACTGCGAAGGTCGTGCATCGCAATTAAGCATGGCAGCTGATGATGAAAGGAATTTACCTTCGTGGCCAGACGCATAAATTTCAATTTGCACCTATGCATTTAAATTGATGGCGATGGAGCGGATCCTGCAGCGGCTCCTGCAGCAGGACCAGCATGCTGCATATGCGAAAAGTTGTTCGCGCCGCGCTTCAATGCGCAATTAGCGTACCGTGGCCCATAAATTATTTGACCCGTCGCCCCGTCGCGGGGAAATGGAAAATGGCTGGCGGAAATGAATGCCCAGCAGGGCGAATAAACAGATGAGCGAGCAAAATTCGCCCAGCCTGGCCCAAGTATGCAGTTCAGGTAGTGGGACAATGGCGGGCTTAAAATGCGTAAACGAGATAACAGGCCCACAGATGTATTGTTAGCCATCACGTGACTGCGGCGGGAATCACGTGCTCAGTCGATGTTCAATGCCGAACTTTCGCAAAAGGGCGCAATCAAATTAACCTTGGCTCACGCGGCGTATGCGCAATATTTTCGCCATTTAAGCCCAGCTCTGTGATAAATGCGGCTAAGTGGCTTTGTTTGCTCCCAATGCGAACAAATTGGATCGGCGTGCAGCGGCAGGGGGCTGTCGTGAATTTTAAACATTCCGCCAATGCAAATGCCAATAAATCTCGCCTTTTGTCTCGCCCTCAAAGGCAATGCACCTTTGTTGAAAACTTTTGCCAGCAGCAGTCTCATTATGCCGAAGTGACATTTTTTCGCAAAAATTGCAAACTTCATTTTATTGCATTTTTAAACTTTGCCCTTACGCGCCAAAAGTTCAGGCTAAAATACTTATATTTGCCATCGCGCCACGCAAATGCACTGTGTTGTTTGTCTTCGGTTTTATCTGCTTGTGGTCCCGGCCAAGTGGAACTATGTGCAGCTGCTCCAGTAAACTTTTCCCACCTCGCAGGTCATAGGATCCCGATCCCCCGGCCAGAGCTCTTACTTCATCCGCCATACATAGGCTCTATGATTCTGGCCCGGCACGCCCAGCGCGTCCTGGCTAACAGCGCCTTAACAGAGCGCTCTCACTCTCTCTCTTCGCCGCTCTTTGCGAGTGTCCTGCTCTGCCACGGCCAAAGCTCCGCGAAGGTTAGACTTTGCTGTGTGTTTGCAGGACCTCCTGCCTTTGCGCCGTGTGTGTTTGCGCTGGCCGAGGCTGTCGGCAAACTCGACGAGTCCTGCCACGTTTAAATACAGCACGCACAGACGTCTGGCAATTTATTCCAAGTTCGGCCGGCTTTTGTTGCACTTGGCTGCTGTGGCTGCTGTAGTCGGCTCGCGATCTCAGCCAAAATCGCGTATTGTGACTATTGCCGGAAAATGTGAAGAGTTCGGTCTATAACTTACAAGTGCAAGGTAATGAGATACTTTGTTGCTCCTAGAGCGCGGTGTAATTAAGCCAACTTCCTTTTCATTCGGAGCCTTGTGTAAATTAAGGAGAACAATTAGTTCAGCGTTAAAGCTGATTTATAATTGCCAAAGTATATAAATAAAGTATTAGCAAACAAAAAAAGTTGGCCAATTATATTCGTTTGAAAAACTCTAGACAAGTTTCTAATGCATATTGAGCTTTACTATCAAATTCGGGACACCAGAATCTAAAAAATAATTGGATTTTTGTTAACACAGAAAACTAAAATATTTTTAAATTGCACTTAAAATTTTTTACAAATTTAAACAGTGTTCTTTGGAAATTGCAAAAATATTTTTGTAATAAAAAAATATGAATATTTTGTAAGTAGTTTTACCAAACTGAAATGTAGACCATTTAAAGGTCGATGCTGAAAGTGTATTATTTTCGGTGTGGCTTTAAGGTCAAGCCAATTCAGCAATTTAAAAACTTTTTTAAATCAAAACCAAAACAAAGGCCAAACAACGATTTCATTCTAAATTTTCCGGTCAATGCAAACAACGCACACACGCATCTGAAATCACAACAACACACAGCCTGGCAGTATTAGTATGCTTGGCGCAGCTTTGAAACATCCCGAATGCCATGCAGAATACTTCAATTATCGTCTAAATTTGTTTTGCTCGTCATAAATCTCTCTCCCGACCATGTTTTCCAACCAGTGCAGAAAGGAGTCCAGACAAGACGTACAAACTCTCGGCACGAGGTAAACAGATGACAGCAATGAATGCGGATGAGACAAAGCAGGCTGGAATGCCTCAAGGAGCTGAGGAGGAGCAGCAGCAGAGGCAGGAGCAGGAGCAGGAGAGCGATGGAGCAGCATCTGCAGGAGGGCAGTGTGATCCTGAGACCAGAATAGTGGCACCTCCGCCCAGGCAGCGGACTCTGACAAGGACGGCCGAGCTGGACGCGGACTGCGAGGACATCGAGCTGGACGATGCCGACGACGCGGCGGATAGCATCACCTTGGAGTTGGCCCTATCGCCGCACAGCAGCAGCACGCCCACGCCCTCGCCCACCACCGCCGACGAGGACTTCGCCCAGCTGGACAACAGCAAGCCCTTCAAGGTGGGTATTCCACTCACCACGCGCACATCCTTCATGTCCTTTGTGGCATTTAGCCAAGCTACCTGCTGCCCGTTTCGTTAAGTGATTACTGCGGTGCTATTGTTACGCTTGATGGGTATATAGAAAAAAACAAAACAAATTAAACAAAATTGAAAGTGGAGGAAAAAGTTGGACGGCCAGGACGAACAAAGTGAAGGGTTCCCCGACGGAACGGCCACTTCAAAGCCTTCGGCGTTGAGTGGCACCATCGACATTGGCACTGCTGCTGAAGTGTAGCTACTCGGTGCTTTATTCGCCCTTTAAGCATTCGTCCAACTTTTCAATCCGCTGCAAGAGCTGGTGCGGGAAAATTCCAGGAAAACTGGGCGGTTCAGCCCAATCCCATGCCTTCCCATGGGCAAACTCTATTTGACTGCCAAGATTGCGTGACCCTGCCCAATTTGGAGCACAGAAAGAAATGATTTGGGTCACAAAATGGTCCATGTCAGTTCTTAAAACTTTCCGAAGCAATTACGCATCCATAAAGTTAAAACTCGTGTATGTGACAAATAGAACATCAACTTTTGCAAAATTCAATAACATCCACGTTTAGAAAAATCTAGCAAAAATAATTTTTGATTTCATTTAATTAAGCTAGAATTTCTTTGTATTCAAGTGATGTTAAAACCTTCACAATAATATCAAACTAAGTCATGCTCGGTCTTAATTACCAAAACTAATAGTATAATACTACTATATAATAGAGACCATAGTTTACCCTCTACTCAGCTTAGCTGCTTACTCATTTTTTGCTGTGTGCGGCTGGTCAACAAAAGAAATTTAATTAAAATGTTTAAACTGTTCACACTGTGGGTTGAGTGTGCGGGCGTCCAAGTGCCTCGAATATCATTGTTGGCCAGCCAGCTGGCCAATCATCCGGCCATTCCGCCAGTGCCACGCCCACTTCTAAGCCGTCTCGTGGCGTCTGTGGGCGGCGATGACGATAAGGAGGTGTCTTGGCCACGCCAGCCGCACACTCAATCGATGTATTGTGTGCTAACGGCATCGAAGCCACTGCCATAACAATATTAACTGGCCAAAAGATCGGCGTCTACGAGCTATCAACTGGCTGTAAATTTGCCAGGCGAAAGCAATTAATTGACGGCTTGACGTGGCCGAAACGCGATGTCATTTGTCAGTGGCAACCAACTGGTGAGCGTGGGCCACGTGACGTATGCGTAATTCATGCGCATTTAAGCTAATTAATAAGCGCTCATCTTGGCTGCCATCTGACACGGGCACCTTCTTTATCGAGTTCTCGAGGGAACTGCCAAGGCCCTGATTAAAGCACTGGCATTCCTGGAAATATAATCCCTTTGCCTGATTCCAAAAACGAATGCGAGTAGGAATTAAGTTTAGGGTTGGGAGTCAGATACCAATTAACATGCCAACACATGAATGTATGAATCCTGTGCTCACTGATTGCGCAGAAACATAATTTGCATTTCTTCTGCCTAAAGGGCTCCATATCAGACAGTTCAATAATTGGTAACCTTGACTTGTAGTTTGGCTTACTCAGAAGGTTAAGTGGGTTTGCAGCTGTACCACAACTGAAAACTTCAATAGCAGTGTTGCCACATCAAAAGATAGTTTTTCACTTCAAAACCAACTCGAATTTCACATCAAAAAGGTTGAGAAGTAAGTCTGGTTAAGAAGTAAGTAATAAATATTTTCCGTAATTAGGTTTAAATACAAAAATAGGAAAAACTGAGTGGTAAACAGCTGAATTGGCAGCAGTAACTGCCAGCGAAATCGGTTGGCTGCGTAGTAAATTATTTTACCTTGCATGCTGTTTTAGTTAGTATTTTGCTTAACGAAATTCTGCGGTGGCATAAAATTAGATTCCTGTAAAGCAAATCTCATTGGATGCTTCCCTTTTCCCATCCGTGTAACTCGCAAATGTGTTTTTCATGTCACAGCCATTTGGGGTCCACCTTTCCGAGGGAATCTGCGAATGCAAATGGTCCAAAAATAAAGTCTGATCCACCCGAATGGCGAGGCTTACTTGAAAGGTGGGTCGAATATTAAATTATCAGAAATGCCGCATGGAACAGCATCAGCGAGGAGACAGGCAAACAAATAAACACACAGAAACGAAGAGCAAACATTTCTCAGAATACGTCGTACTTTGACGGAGACATTGCGTATACGCCACGTTGCGCATTAAGCCAAATAAACGGGCATTCTTCGTGTCCAGACAAGCGTGCAACTTAGCGGCCCGTTTTCCTCCGACTTAAGTAAGCTAATAAGTACTCGTAGGTGTGGAATGCAACGAGTTTCCAGTGAGAACTCATCATGGCCCACGGAGCTCGAATGAATGAGCGCTGGTGATGATTTCCTCAGAACAAAGCCGAGCACTGAGAAAAAAACCGTGATTTGATACGTAATTAGAAAATTAGGTTGTGTAAGCAATGAGAAGCTTGTAAAATAGTTTCTCATGACTCGAATAAGCCCTCAAGAACCACACCTAAGATTCTAGGTTTTTATAGAAAAGCTGTAGAGCACATTGTTTCAGTGCCTAAAGGAATGTGTTGCTATGACATTTCGATGGCAATCAGGCTTAATTAGTTACCAAATGTCTCCGATATGCTCCGTGAAGCGAGTGGAGGCAACATGAGATGGACAATGGTAACCGCAAGCACATCGTGGCCATTTGTGGGGGTCGTGACCATGTGCCGTGGGCCAAATTGATGCGGCTTTCGTTACCTAGCCCCGAAATCAGTTCTCCGCATTGGAGGGACTCGAATTCGAATGCCATAATTGCTAGCATCCTGCGTAATTTGCATTTCCTGACCGACCCTAAGTGCTATTTGAACAACAGTTCCCGTGCAGGCCACATCTCAGCTGCATCATGGCGAATTCATGGCAGCACTGCGAGGGTCCTGCGCATTGTCCTTGCCACACTTTTGGCTGGCTTGTCGCCTGTTCTAATGATGGTCTCCTGCTACGCAAACTGTGAATTTACAGGGGCAATATTGACGCTGTTCGCTGGCAAACAGAGGGTATCTCTATAGCCCTAAGGCGCAACCACACGAAGGATAAATATTTGCTGATCCCCACAGCAGAGACCACAATTCGGGCAAAGTGAAACAACAAATCAGGTCGAGACACTAAGCGCTTCAAGATGAACCCCACTTCATTTTGCCTGGCTGCCAATTGAAGGCATTGACCAAAAAGTCGGAGTTCAACTGAGGCCACTCGAGAAGTGAGAATTCACATTGTGTGTTCTGCAGCTTAGGCAGTTAAGAAGCCAAGTTATAATGACATTCGGGCAGCAAGCAGGGCGAAAAAGTGGTAACTGGCCAAGAAAGCCGCAGGACATTGGCATTTGGGCCAGACTTCGTGGCAGGGGTGCAGATTGAATGAATACCACAATGAATTCAATCGCAAGGGTAGTGCTCCTGGCTTTAATGCCCCCACCCACACAGCCCGATGAAATTCGCATTAAACGCGTGATATAGTTTCATTGTTGCAGCTTTGGCTTGGGTTTCCACCAGCTGAGCTCCAGACTGCCGCCAGACGGAATGGTCATGGTTGGTCATTTGATAGATTCACAAAGCATCCCAAGCATCGTACAATTGCCTTACCACATTGATTGATGGGCTGTGATGGCAGAAAAAGCACTCTTTTGGGACTGATGACTCTGCTTTTGAATGAAAACCGAGAAGACAGCGATTAAATGGCCGCAGACCGCTTGACAGTGGCTGTCGATTGGAGACACCTGAAGATCTGTCAGAACCCACCGCTCCCCTTGGCCATTCATCAGAGTACGAGTGTGTAAACGCATCACAATGCCCAGAAGGATCACAATGGAGGCGTTGGCAACTTTTCGACAGAGCTCTCCCTTCGGCTTGACCATTTTCTCCTTGTTCACTTTCACCTTTCGCCTGACCCGCCCATCCATACTCGACCTTGACAGCCTGTTCGGCATCGACAGCATTATGCCCTAAATATTTTAGTAGCAATCTTTTAGGCCCAACAGGAGATGGGCTGCTGTCGAAAAAGCAGAAAAGGCTGAAAAATATAATCGCTTGAATGTGCCGACTTCTGCCTTGACCTTGCCATTGTTCGTTGGCTTTGTTGCTATGAAAAATGATAAATTGATTATATGTTGGTTGGCTGCTGCTCCTCCACCTGCCTTGCTCAAATATTCAAATTCATATTTATGTTAATCGCAATTAACCTGCGTCTTTTCGTATCATTACTCTTATCTTGTCGCCGCGCCTCGTTAACTTTATATTGTTTTTATCGACAGCATTTAATGGATGCCTGCGGGCTCTTTTCGCAAATTAAAGCAAACAAATGTGGCGGGCTTGTCGTTTGTGTGTTGCTATAGCTTAATGGATAAAATGTGCCATTGACTATGACAAACATTTTTGTCTAGGTAAACATTTCGCTTTCGGCTTCACGTCCAAATCGCGATTGAGTAATAATATTACCTTAAATAAGGACGTATCGCAACGCCTAAGTATCTACTTTTTTAGCCAGATTGACATATTTATCTCAAAAGGTCACGCCTCGAATTGTTGCGGAAAAAGCCAGGCTGGTATTTATTCTAAAGTTAATTAGGTCGCCAAAGGATGTCCTCAGCTTTTATTAAAAATTCGTTTGGGCATTCTGTTTTATAGAGTCAGCTATTACACTGTAATTGCACTATGATTTCCACACAAAGTGGAGCCATAACCCTTTCGAAGGTAAATAGCAGCTTACGCAGGCATTTCTCGCAGTGTACTAGTTAAGCCTTCTTCCAGCACAGCATGCAATTTCCGGCATGTCAATACTGAGCGTGAATTCGGCGCAAAATTCCTAGTAATCCGTCGCCTCCATTTCAGATCAAGGACATCACAAGGAACATCCGCAAGGCTGTTGTGGCCACCACGCTGTCGGAGTTGCGAGCGAAGGTGTCGCTGAAATTTGAGCGGGCTCAGCCGGCGATACACCTGGATTGCGATGGCACCGAGGTCGACGACGAGGAGTACTTCAGCACTCTGGAGCCAAATGCCGAGTTGATTGCCGTCTTTCCCGGCGAGCAGTGGCGCGATGTGAGTTGTTCTGCCCTTTATCCCTTGCCTTATAGCCTGAATATGACTTCGACTTGTGCTCATCCGACCAATCATCCATCGAACCCTTCTCCATTTGCCCCACAGCCCAGTGACTACAATGCCAATCTGCGCCGCACATCGCTGGATGCACAGCGTCTGCGGAAGCTGGTGAGCAAACTGCAGCCGAACTATATGAACGATGATGACTTGGACAAGCTGTCGAACATGGATCCCAACTCCCTGGTGGACATCACGGGTCGGGAGCCCAAGGACAGCGAATACTCAGCCAGGAGCGATGCCGCCCGGCTATCCACGGAATTGTCTTGCTAAGGGGCATCATTGCTCCCTCAACGAATTAATGTAGTTTAGGAATTGTGTGAATTGGAATGTATATAGGGTATTTGTACGAGTTTATATGGCCAGATGGAGTATTTTTGGACAAAGTTTTGATGATGGCACTTGATGCGACCGATATTTGGATGGTTATACGTGTATGCTGGGGTTTTCGCTCACTAGCCGTAGATCCGAAAGTTGTGTATTTTTCGAGCCCACATTGTCGTAGAGCAACTCACTCCGAATGTCTTTTATCAGCCAGCCGCTAATTGTTCCTAGACCAATAGCCGCGTTTGAGCCAAAACCTGGGGTGCCTTAAAGGCCGATCTCCAGTCTTGGATTACCTTATCCCAAACCTCACCTCACTCAGCGGACGATTAACGAGCTGCAGCATAGATTTTATCTAGACAAATAGATATAAAACATAGTATATTTTCCATAGCGGAATCCTTGTGAATGTCTCACGAATACCTATACAGTTTGGGTTATTAGGGAGCAACTAGAACTTGATGTTACTGAATCTCAATTAAATGAATTACTCGTACCTAGCATTAAATGAATTCACCCTAGGTGCACAAAAGGGGTTTTTGCCTGTTTTTTGTATTTATGCTGCATCATTGAACAAGCACCATTTGCTGCACCATTCAAAAGGTTATAGATGCCTGAATTTAATTCAATTTACATTTACTTTGTGCCCGCAAAAATCAATTGGAAATCGTAATTTGTAACTGTAAAAAAACACAAAATACACAAATAAAAGTGGAAATAAATAAATGGATAAATGTGTGAAAATTACTTTTTATCGAAACAATAAAATGCGATTTTATGTGCTGACTTGGATTCTTTTCCGGATTTGTTGCGGTCGAGAGAGACTACTTTTCAAAATTGTTGCAAAATGTGCAACAGTAATCCCTTTAATTTGTCTGCTTTGGGAAATGCCAATACCTAGCAATTCAATTCAGAGAAAATTTCATTCAATACTTTCAAATATTTGTGGCTGCCTAGAGAAGGTCTGCTGCAATTTGAAATGCTATTAATTTGATGCATTTGTGATGAATGCAGAAACTATTTTAAAGTACATTGAATTCATTACCTTACTGGGGCTTTTAAAACATTCGAGTTTCTTGGACGTGCTGCATTTTAAGCTTGCTCCCAGATGGCAAAAGGCGTAGCTATCCAGATAGGAAGGATTCCACAATGTGAAACATGGTAAACATAGTTTCCCCATCGCCCATCACCCGCCGGCCAGTCCGGGTTTTGTTTTCATGTTAAAGTTCCGGCTGCAATCCTGCAATGTGCTCGGGAATCCCTGCCAGGCGTCGAAGTTTGAATGGAAATGAGTTGGAACTTCCATTTACCAATCAGTCGTATTGGACGGCGTGCTGGGCATCCTTCCACACACAGAATGCGAGAAATTCTTAATGCGGATAATTTCTGGGTTGGCGACAAAAGCGCCGGATGTGTTACACATGGCTGCATATAATGTGTTCGAGCAAAAACACCGGCAAATCTGACAGCTAAAGGTAAATCCATGGAATGCCAGCCAAATGCGGAAGGCATTGGTCAAAGTTGGTTGCCCTTGGCTGGCTGGACATATGATGTGATGTGTATTTTTAGCTAACCAACTCATTTGCCATGCAACATTTTGTTTTGCCGCCCTTGCCGTTTGCCTATCCCTAAAAAGTTCGAATTTAGATGGGTCTCCGCCAGTTGCGGATTACATTTGCAACCATGGCAGATTGATGCCGCAGTTATGCACTTCTTGGTGTTCCTGACAGCACCTGAGCTCATAGCGCGGTTGGGGAATCGTCTGCTGGAACACCTGAGCTCCATTTTCGCGCGAAATGTCCTTGGCAGCCGTTGCGGCGGAATGTCATTGTTGTTTTGAATCAAACGCATTAAAAATTTATTGAATTTATTTTTACGAGCTCGTCTCCATGTTTCGTGTTCCCTGGCGTCCATGTCAATTCACTTGGTTGACTATGCTCTGCTGCTCCTGCTCGCCATCCTCTGCACTTAAGCTTAGTTTTGCAGTTTACCGGGGGATGGCGTTTGCTTATGCAGCTTGATGTCTCACAAATCGCCCCATTAAATGCAATGACAGGACCTAAGGCCGGGCACTCGGCGAGTGTCAATCAAAAGCAATTAACAGGATTCGAGAAATCCTTGCGAAAGAAACTCGTAACGAGAGCGAAGGCATTGAGAAGGAGCATTGTGATGCAATGCATTTTTTTTGTCTTTGATTTTCCAGAAACTTGCTTTGATTGAATCTGCTTTGGTTTGTATAAACATTTTGAGGTATTCTTTAAGACTCACTCGACTGCATTACTGCTTAAAACCAAGTACACATTGTTATTTCCTTAGTATATTATTTCAATAGAAATTTCTTGTGAAAGGGCACATCTTTCAATTGTTTCCATTTTCATTTTATTCATCGTTTTACAATTCGTTCTAGCAACTAAAGAAAATAATATTATGCAGACGCCTTCGTAAAGGGAAAATCATGAGAATAATCGAGAGAAGGACGTAAATGCTCATCGACTGCCGGAGCTCCTTGAACAGTGCTCCTGGCTTCAGTTCCTTTCTGGATGTCCTTCACGCGCACCAAGGAGCAGAGGATGGATTTCGGGGCAAATCATAAATGAATAACAATTTCCGAATTACAATATCGGGCCGTTTCGATGGATATTCTTTTCTGGGCGGCGGGCGGCGGACGGAGATTGGTCAGTAGACGAACTTCTTCTGCTCCCCATAGAGCGACTCGTAGAGGGAGGGGGCCAGGTGCTCGGCCAGGAAGATCTGCAGCCGCTCGCTGGATGTCACCGGGGTGTAGCGGGCCATGGGGAAGGTCCTGGTCACGGCATCAATGAGGACGCGCAGCGTGGGCTGGATATCGGCCGCCTGGAGTGGGAGTAGGTGGGTGGGGATTAAACACTCGTTAGCCATCGGACACACGAAGGGAGGAGGATTGGCTGGGCACTCTCACCTGGCGCGAATACTTCTCCACCGATGTCATGGCCGCCTCGTAGTAATCCTCGCCGTAGGTCTTCTTCTGCTCCGAGGAAAGCTGGTTCCACATTTGCTTGGCCTGCGGAAAATATACCGGGGGAGATGAGATGGGTTGAAGCCAAGTTAATGAGTTCTCCGCAAACTGTTTTAGCAGTCCCCGCTGCTTGGGAATAGTTATCGTATCGTAAAAAACTAAAAGCATGAAAAGGCTGATCCACGTGGAAAAAACTTTCATGATTTAGTGGTGCAAAAATGATAAAAAAATAATATTTTGCACACTGTCCTGACTTAACAAGTGTATACTAAAGATAAACTTTTGTAATGCTTCCAAGTGTAAAATATAACAAAATTGTTTAATATCTAGTAAAAAGTGGTATTATAAAAAATCCTGAAAGTATACGAGTATACATGTGTACCTTTGGTTTGCTTACGAAATTTAACTTCGCGTGTAAAATTCATTGTATGGTTACGTGGGTGGGTTTGGGTTTAAAGGCTCCCCATCGATGTAAAATTTTTCGCAATGCAGACCATTAGCAGCTGCATACTAGAGCAATGGGGCCATTATTCTGTCCTCACCTGGTCACGCAGCTCGGTCTCGTTCAGCCAGCCGTTGCCGGGTGCAAACTCTCCGGCAGCCACCACGGACACGTCCACTCCCCGGGTGCGCATCTCCTGGCGCAGGCAGGCGGCAAAGCAGTCCACGGCCGCCTGGGTGGCGCACTGGATTCCCCGGACGGGAGATGGGACGCGATTCAGGCCGGAGGTAAGGAAGACGATGCGACCATGGGCACGGCGGACCAGGGGCAGGAAGATTTGGGTGAGGCGAGCGGAGCCTGCAACGTTTTAAAATTGCCGCCTGAAAAATTGCCGCCAACACTCATGGCAGAGCCAGTGCACCACTTACCCAAAAGGTTGAGGTCCAAGCTCTTGCGGAGCACGGCAAATGGAATCCACTCGAGTTCACCCAAAGCTATCCAGTGGGCGCAGTGCACCACAGACCACAATCCCTCGGCGCCGTGGGGCAAGTGCTGCGACACATAGCGGGCAGCTTCCAGGATCTAAGCAATGGATGCGAATGGTTGTGAACTCGGCTAAAAGCTCAGGACCTGCCGCCTGTGTAGACTTACGGTTTTCTCCGATGTGACGTCCAAGTGCAGCAGCTTCATGCGCCCCGAGGTCTCCTCCTTGAGAATCTTGGCCTCGTCCGACTCCTCGATGGGCGTGTTGAATCCTGCGTAAACGGTGAAGCCCAGGTCGTCCAGTTTCTTGGCCAAGTACCAGGCCAGTGGAGCCTCGCAGCCAGTGATTAGCACGCCCTTGCCCGAAGCCGAAACCTGCAAGTAAGAGCGCATATCGGTAAAAATTAGACATGGTTTAATTTAATGTTCTATTTTAGTATTATTTGTTTAATGAAATTGTGCTTACTCATATAAACAAGCGAACTTAATGCGAAATGTTTCCCCAACTAATGCTTAATATAAAATTTCTTTTTCTAAGGATTTTGTACTTGGCTGATAATTTGTTTCGAATTTAATTGGCGAATACTTACTATTTCTTATAGCTATTCTATTAACCTTTAATGGAAAGCATGCCTAGAGAATTTTAAAATTACATTAGGTATTCTCAGCCTACGGAGAAGAAGAAGCATATAAACTATTCCTAATTTATTTTTCTTTATGAAGCTTAGGGGTTAACGCATTGCTCTCGGGACGTTCAACTCTTCAGGCCATTAATGTTCGATAATTATGGCGCCAATTAGCTGACAATTGAGCTGTGGCATTCTGTTTGATTTTCAGATGGAGTATCAAGTTTTCGCTGGGTGTGGTCTCAGCAGTTTCACCTTTGGCCCAGCCGAAGCGTCGTCTGTGGGCTTTAAGACCAAACAAACTGGGCTCAGACGTCAGCGAGTTGGCAACTTTGTCGCCCACGAGAAGCGGCCTGCTTTCGATTTCAAAGCGAAAGTCCGGCGCTGAACGGAACGACGACTCCTTGGGGTAGGGAATGCGCCCATTCCCATCTGGGGATGGGTGTGAGTGCTGGGATGGCTGTGGCAGATATTTGTTTAAGTTCAT